CCAGACAAGATTTATCCCATGAAGATTCATTTTGGATAATGTAATGACCCTCAACGAAACAATTAGATACATTCAAGATAAAAAAATGAACGTGGCCGTACTGTTCTTTGACTTCGAAAAAGCGTACGACCAGGTTAACTGGAACTTCCTACAGCAATGTATGGAAAAAATGGGGGTAGGTCCAAACTTCAGAAAATGGGTTCAGGTTCTATACTCGGAAGCCCACGGTCGAGTGCAGGTCAACGGCCATCTATCACAACCATATCAAATGTCCCGCTCAATAAGACAGGGCGACCCATTAGCAGCACCAATCTTCCTCTTCATCATGGAGGCAATTGCCTCCTTTCTAAGGAAGGACCCCTCGATTGAAAGACTGGTGGAGGATAGACAATATCCAATCAACCTTCCCATTACCATCCTCTTCGTGGATGACTTAACGGTCTTAATATGAGCATCGGACTCTTCCTTCCAAGCTCTTACGTGCCATGCAATCTTTCCAAATTGCATCAGAGATGAAAATCAACTGGCCCAAAACAGTAGGTTGGTGGCTAACATACCCTCAAACTGACCCCCCTCAAAGTACTCTGGCAGGAATGAACTGGTCTCGAGGCAATGAACCCCTCAGATACCTAGGAATCCAAGTGTCCAAACATGGCACTAACCAAGAAATGGCTCCGACCATAATGAATAAGATGATTGCTAGATTGGGCAGCTGGTCCAATGTTTATACCTCAATATTTGGCAGAGCCCTTATCCTGAATGCATCTATCTTCTCAATGATGTGGTATGATTTGGAGCCCACCCAAGCAGTGAAGAACACAACTCATAAGAATAGCGGCCGCCTATTTGTGGACAGGAGACCCATCTAGAGTCAACTTCATTTCAAAAGTGGCATGGAAGTACGTCATCCTGAAGAAAACGCAAGGAGGTTTAGGAATACTGGACCCGGAAATTCAAATCAAAGCTCTTCAAACGAAGTGGATCATCAAAATGATAACCAATAACAACCTACCTTAGAGAACACTAGGTCTTCACATAATTCAACAAATAGTCAAATACACCCCCCCTAACAACATGCGAGGCCTCTTCTAGCTCATGACTAAGTCCTAGGCGATGAAGGGCGGGTCGCAAACAGAGCAACAAGGAGACCAAGAAGAAGAACAAGGGGAGGACTTATGGCGACAACTATTGAAAACATGGAGGGAAATTCTACCAGCCAAAGTAAGAGAACCAACAACCAAAGAAGAAGTCCTCAGACAACCGATCTTCTGTAATCAAGCACTGTTGGACTCACAAGGGAAACCATGGACCTTAACCACAAAGGACACAAAATGGGGAGCCTGGGTAGGAAAGGGAGTTTGGCAAATCAAACACCTCTGGCAAGAGGAGTAAAAGAGATTGAAAACGGTAAGAGAGCTAAGGGAAACCTTGAAGGGATGCCATAATCTGCAAGTGAATCTAAACAGTATTTTAATCGCAGTACCAAAGAGCTGGCATGTATTGCTGAAGGGCACCTGGGAATGGAAAGCAGGGGACTGGACAACAAGATTGTCTGAAAGCATCCCCACCGCAGCCTACCAGTTCCGCTCAAGAGAGGGACCAGGAAACACATGGCTAGTATGCGACATATATTCGATCGAAGACCCGGGAACAACCACGAGCCTCTTGGGTCGAAACACGTCGGGGGAAATTGCCCTTCCAGAACTTGAAATGAGGAAAGTAAGAGTGGTAGAAACAAAGGAATGACGCATATGTGAACCTCTTTTATGCATAGTGGATTTGGAAGTCGACCCAGCAGAATGGGCTTGGAAGAGAAAGTCAGGCAGACTAGGAATAGAGAAACGAAATAACATCCTTGAGTACTCTACCAAGTTGGGATATACACTAAGAATGAGGTCGGCCCCAATAGCCCAAATTATCAACCAAAGATGGGAAATGCACCTCAATCTGCCACCAAACCAAACCCTCATCACCTCGTGGAGTAACATACTTGCCATCTCCTGGGTCAAAATAAGAAGCTTCCAATGGCTACTCGCCCATCGAGCCCTCCCAGTCAACAAATGGCTAAACAAGAGAAGGAACACACAGTCCAGATCTCCCATGCAGGAACTATGTGCTATTAGTCCGGAGGGACTGCCAGAAGATACAGATCACTGTCTGCTAGAATGCCGAAAAGCCAAACAACTCTGGACAGCCGCCTCCCTACTATGGCACTCAATTACCATCAAAATGCTACCAACGGATCAGGCCTCCCTCTTACTTGGCTTACTCTCTCACAATTCATGGCAGAGATTTGAAGTTTCCTTCTTCCACACACTAAGATGCCAAGAAACGATCGATCGATCAGCTATGGCACCCCAAGAAGCTTGGGAAGGAGTATTGTATCTACTAGAGGTTGATTACAGAGGGAGGTGGAAGATAACTCACAGGAAAATAGAAGAGATTGTCACGAACAAAGACAAGTTAATAGAATCCTTCGTAAAACATCAGTTAGGAGAAGGCAAGATAGCAAGAATAGAACAGGATAAACTTTACTTCGCCCAATGGAGACACACCCAACCAACTAGGATACAAGGGATAGAATCTCCTAGAAGTAGGAGTCACCTGTCAGACTTTTCAATAGGGATGATATGAAGGGGACAATACCAGCATAGACCCCCATAAAGGAGACAGATAGACAACACCAATCCTCAGACTAAGACCACCATCCCGGTAAAGTCGTTGGACAGAGATAAGGGGCACAATCCCGTTCTGATCAGGTACCCAGAACCCAAAAGATAGGATTAGTTGAGGGGCTTAGGGTTTAGGGTTTAACTGGATGGAGAAGCCAGGGTTAACTAGGAAAGCAGGGTCGTTAAGCCAGCAACCCATAGGAACTTCAGTTTAGGATCAGGAGATAGGAGGAAGCTCACAAAGGAACAGATCAGGATCAGCCGCCAGTAGAGATTGGGCCCTGACAGAAACAAGCCATAACACAATCCGTAGAAGCCAGCTCCTTACTCTAGTTCTTGATTACCACGAATATCAGACAGTTACTCAGCTGAGAGGAGCCAAGAGTGAGGAGTCACAAAAGACCAAGGGACATCTGAAATAGCCTAACTTAAGCAGGGGTTAGGGGTGGTACATCCTTCCCCAGGGAAGTAATCAATGCCGTCCACTCGGACCTCTCAACCGTAATGGAGAGGAGCGTGTGTGAGTCTTAAATGTATTTTTATTGGCTTGCCGGGGGAATAGGAACGGGACTGTTGCTCCCCAGAATGGTAGGTTATGTACTGTTGTAAAAAAAAAAAAAAAAAAAAAAAAAAAAACGTTACTTGAATACGACGTAAAACTCGGGTACAACCTAGGCTTACAGACTACAGACCTGGACCCCAAACTAAAAGGCAGATGGAAAGAGACACTGAACCTAGAGCCGACAGCCCCAATATCCATCCTCTGGCCTAAATACCCCCCCATCAGACCAGCTAGAATTTGTAGCATGCAGTGGCTCCTAGCCCACACAGCACTCCCTGTCAACCAGTGGCTCCACAGAAGGAGAAAACACTTGAACCCTGACAGCTCGGAGCTCTGTGTACTATGCAGTGACAGCATTCCAGAAGACATACCCCACTGCCTCCTCTACTGCAGTCAGGCCGTCTGGATATGGAACAAAGTCCGTAGACTGTGGTCCCTTCTCTTCTTATCTCCCCCCCCTAGCTTCACCCCTCAGAATATCCTTCTCCTATCTAACATCCCTGACAGTCTCAAAGGGGGGAAAGCGGCCTGGTTCTACATGCTCAGGAAACTAGCCCTGTGGGTCGTATGGAAAAGGAGATGCACCAAGACAATTGAGGGTTCTGAAGTGGCCAAGGAAGAAATGTGGATCCTTCTGCTGAGGATGGTGGAAACAGAGATCCAATGCAAATGGAGGAGTGTGACTGCAGCAACGAGAGGCAAACCTGAAAGACTCACACTCAGGAGACAAAGTTTCATGAGAGACTGGCTGCTACAGGGAAAGATCGCGACAGTCACAGACAACAAACTGATTTGGAAGACGTGGCCCACTCCAACAACGACAAGGATTGCGGTCCCGAGAAGGGCAAATTGAGGCTATAGCCTGAGACTGACATTAATCTCTCCCAGTTTTCTTGTGGTTCAGTGCCTATTCGACAGCACCAACAGGGGTTCTGAGAGGAAAACAAGGGTAGGGCAAGCTGACAGTCAATCCTCCCATATAGGAGTAATCAATGCTGGTCAGGGGTCCTTTGGCCAGACGGAAGGAAGCGTGAGAGTGTACTATGATGTATTAAATGTTGACTTGCCCGGGGAATAGCAACCGGACTGATGCTCCCCAGAATGGACATGGAGCCAGGGCCATAACGACCTTTTTCAAAAAAAAAAAAAAAAAAAAAAAAACAGTCCCTCTGGTGCTAGCGGTGCTGTTTAGAGCAGGCATCGCTAGCACCCGGGGAGAGGCTCCATCTATTGGTGGGGAGCGTCACCTGCTGGAAAACGGGTCCAGCGTCCCTTACACAGTTGATACAAAATGATACAGAATGATCCAGAATGGTATGTAGAAAAGAAGAAAAATGGATGGTGTCTGGAGGGTGCCTGCCAGCATTGATTGCTCTGGAGACCAGAGGATTGACTGAGCAGGTGTGAAACTGATAGCATGAAGGTCCCATTTTTGCCCTGGGGGCCTCCATCCGGGCATCACAGACCGGACACCGGACCCCGACATGCTGTTCCGGACTGTCTGGAACCCGGTCCGGATGTCCGGTCGGTTACCAAGGTAAAATAACTCTGAATTATGTGGGGCACTTCAATGATCTATAAATTAAAATAAAGAAAGAGAAATCTGAACGTGCAAGTTTGTTCTCTTTGGGATTTTGAGATCATGAATTTCTCCGGAGACCCCTTCTCCCTCCTGACGGGCTTTCAAACTCCTCCAGATTTTTCACGACTCTCCCCTTCTCTTATATCTGGTGTCCCGTACTGTGGTCCCCACATGCTTGATGCAGGAATTGGTACCCATAGTAAACGTCCTGCGGTCCGATTGGCTCGAAAAGAATAGCAAAGTTGTTCTGTATGCTGTTGCAGCAATGTGGTGCTTGGCCCGAGATGAAACAAACCGGAGGGCCCTTGGTAAGATCTCTACCACGATGACACCCAGTTGCATCTCTCTCTCTCTCTCTCTCTCTCTCTCTCTCTCTCTCTCTCTCTCTCTCTCTCTCTCTCTCTCTCTCTCTCCC